AGGTCACAGATAGTTTAATATATCTCCTCAGCCAGCTCTTCAAGTGTCTGCAAACTTATTAGGTTAAAAAAATAATGAATACTTCAGAAGGAGCCTTTGCTTTTCTTTTCCCTTCTCTTTGTAGTACTGGGAATTGAACCTAGAGACTCATGCAGGTTGCTCTACTGTGAGCTACATCCCCTCCACTCTTCTGACCTTACTTGTGAGACAGGATCTTGCTAAGTTGCCCTGGCTGGCTCCAACTTGCGATCCCCCTGTCTCTGCCCCGAGCAGCTGGGACTACAAGTTTGCAACACTGCCAAATAAGCGTCCATTCTGAACGTTACCTTAAACCAGCCAGCCAGAGTCACTGAGGGAAAACAATTTCTACACTCATGAGGCAAAATGTTCCAGGGAAGAGGACAGACATTAAGAAAGATCTGTAAGACATTAAGAATTCTGTACCTCTCACAAAGTTTGTTCTTAAAATGACACTGTTTGTTTTTTTGTTTTGTTTTGTTCTGCTTAAATTAGGGTCTCACTGAATAGCTCAGGCTAAATTTAAACTCATAACATAGTCCAGGCTGGCCTCAAACTAGCAGTACTTCTCCTGCCTCAGCCTCCCAGTGCTGGGATGACAGATAAGGGCAATCGCACCCGGCTTGATGACACTTAGAACACAGAATTTCAACCCCAGAATTAAATTATTCAGGCCCACGGGAATAAGGGGTTGACAAGCCCACAGCTCTCTGCGTCACAGCTGCTATGACAGAGCAGACAGGAAACTGTGCTTATGTGGGAAGCTGTGGGATTGCAGTGCTTCCTCCTCAGTGTGAGAACCTAGGGTAGGAAGTACTCCAACCACCAACGCAATTCCCGAGTTCGAGGCTCGAGTAGAAGCATGCCCCCAGCAAGACGGTGCTCCTCTGGAAGAAGCCCACCTTTGGATTTGAAAGCCAGCAGTAGCGAATAAAATACAACACAAGATCCCATCTTCCAAGCTCTCTGCGTCCCCTACCCTTTGTTTGTGAAGCTACAGTGTCTTCGTAGCAACACAAAATACCCAACACTCAAAGTTAAAAGGGGAACCTTTTAACCTCTGGAGGTTTCAGGCTCTAGTTGCCTGGCTCCAAGGCCTGGTGGCACATGGCAGAAGGGCAACTGTGCATGGTGGCAGAAGACAGAAAAAGCAATGAGAGAGGGTGAGACAAGCCTCTTTCTGTGCCTTGTATTGTGTCCAGTCTACCGGGATTAGGGTGGTGTCCATTGAGTCAGTGGACAGATGCAGCAATCGCCCGCCCTTAATGCCAACATTGCACTAGAAATCAACCACACACTAGATTCAGCCACCTCTGAAGAAAAAACCCTATGACCACACGAGGCTTTGGGGGCCATCTAGACACAAACCATTGCATCCCATGCTGGCACCCTAAAGACTCATGCACACCCCTTTCCACTGCGCGGGGTATCTGTGGGGTTGAAATAAGGACTTGCTTATTCCTGCATGGTCCCTGGGTGTCAGCAGACAGAGGTATTGCAGCTAAGCCGAACTGGAAACATAGGATCCAACTCCACAAGCATATTTGCTTCTCTTTAGAAATAACCTGATGTTACTTTGTAAATGGATGTCTGTCTGTTAATACGTTTTCCTTCTTTTATTTTTTAAAATAAAAAAAAAAAAATTACCTGACATTTAAAATCTGATTTAATTGCTAAGTGTTAAGGAGGCAGTGGCTGTGGAGTGCAGTAAACCACAGGATCTCCTATACATCTCTGGCCAGCCGGGCTCACATCCGCACTTTCAAACCTACAAGGAAAACAAGCCAGGGCCCCAGAGCCCGCCTGCCACCATCTCTCCCTACCCACAGTGGCAGGAGCACGCTGCCAGGTGCTGGGGACTGTCCATCATGTCGATGGACCCTCTGGCCATGAGGAAGCACCAGGATAGGTAACAGTTCCACCCTCAGAAGGAGACTTAGTCCCCACTGTCCAGGAGGAAACCCAGTAGGACTGCTGGGCACAGCCTTCCTGGGCTCTGGACAGTGTGCTGTGGCTGCTGCTCCTCACAAGGACCCTGTAGGCACCGTCCACTTCGGGAGCTGGTGGGTGAGTCGGTCTCACGCAGGAGGAAACTACTTGCTCACAGTCTCAGCGGTGACCCGAACACCTGAGGTGCTATTTCCACTTCCTTCTGCTCAAGCCACTGCCTGGTTGGTCTATGCACTGAGAAGCTGAGGACAGGGGTGTGGTCAGTTGTCCCCACTCACAGCTCACAGGGCATCTACAACCTGAAAGCGTTGCAGGCCTGCAGGGGCAGGAAGGGCACAGTGAAGGACTGGAGGGGAGGTGTCGGGGGAGACACTGCAGCCTCAGTTGGGGCCACTGCTGGGTGCTGGGGGACGGAGGGGGGCGGCACTGGGACTGTGCATCGTGACCGTGACATTCCCATAAAATTTCAAGGGTACAAATTGCCTCTTCTTGCAGAAGTCAGGAAAGGGTAATTAGGAAAAAGAAACATTTCTAAAAGGGGTTAACTGACCACTTGAAAATGGGTCGCTCAGCTGGGCATGGTGGCACGTGCCCAGAATCCCGGCACTCTGGGAGGCTGAGGCAGAAGGATTATGAGGGCAAGCCCCGCCTGGGCAATTTAACAACTTAGCAAGACCTTGTCCGAAAATACGAAAACCACAGGTGTGAAAGCTGAAGCATCCCCTTGACGGGGCAGTGCGCACACACTAATTTTTGAAGCCACATCTGTGAGGGCATTGCTCATGCTAATTAATCCATCATCAGACTTCAGCTGTGCTGCAACCCTGGGTTTTCAGGTGGAAAGGAACCGGCTAGGGATCTGGAGAGAGAGCAGCAGGGCGGCTCTAAGTGCACTGTTATTAATATTGTGCCCACATTACTGTGATCCAGACAATGAGCCCATCAGTCCAGAAGCAGTCCTGCCCGCTGCCTGAATTTCAGTTGTCCTCTCTTCATAACGGGGAGAGAAAATCTTACCTATTTTCTCTTGCAAAATTTACAAATACAAAAGAGTGTGGAAAACATCTATCATAAATTTCAATGTCCTTTCCAACTTTACCCATGAAGGGTATATTTTTTGAATTTATAATTTTTATGATATGATCAAAACATTTTTAAAAATTGGGGACTGGTAAACCTCAAAAACATATTCTAAAGTTACCCAAGTTTTTGAGACCTTTGTGTGATTTATTTTTTTTGTTGTTGTTGTTGTTTTTTTTTTGTTTGTTTGTTTTTTCTCCGGTACCAGGAACCGAACTCACGACCTTGCGCTTGCCAGGCAGGCGCTTTTGCTGCTGAGCTAAATCCCCAGCCCCCTTTGTGTGATTTAGAAAAAGGGTTGGTAACTCTGCAAAACCTGAAGCTTCCCATGAATTTCAATGAGTTAGAAATACTTAAATAGAAGGTTTCATGATGTTATTTGGGGATTTAAACTGAAGTCGGATGACCCATGAAAGAAACAGAGGAAAAACTGAAATTATCACTCAGATGAAACTATCTCTTAGAAATTGAGCTTTATGATATATTAATTCACTTCTAACTTCCTACTAATCTCTGCCTTCATTCACCCACTTACTAAGGAAATATACAGAATAAATAATAAATTTACGTATTAACAAGGTGGCAGTATACCAACAGAAAGGGAAACCAGGCCTTTTCTCTGTTTATGTTTGTACTCTGGGTGTATATATAGTCGGAAACCTAGATCATTCCAATGATACACAGTTAAACTTCTGTAAGACTTCAATGTCAAATGGAAATTTTCTAAAAGTTTCTATATTATATATTTATATATTAATTATGGATTAATTTTAATTTATATATTAATTAACTTTCTAAAAGTTTCTATATTATATATTTACATATTATGGATTAATTTTAATTTATATATTAATTTATATATTAATTATGGATTAATTTTTCAATGTCAACTTCAGCAAGAGTGCTAGTCATTTTACACAAAGTTAGTTGAGTTAATTTCACATATTAATATCTTCTATGAATAATCATAATATTTAGAAGAAAACTGCAAATTAACTGATAACAGGAGAATACAGTAACGGTGAAATCCAGAGTCCTGAGCTTACCAAATACAATTACTTCTGCTGGAATCCGGATTATAGTGTCACTACCCTCCAGTTACCAGCTATATACCGAGTATATAGCTCGGTGATCAGTGTCTGGTGGGGTTTCGTATGTGTAGATTTTCATAAGAATTTTAGTACTCCTTTGTCCTTGAGATCTCCTGACCTGTCTATGTTTATTTAAGGACTTTCCCATTAGTACATGTTAGCTTTAGTGTTTCCTAAGAAATATCTAAAGGTAGCATTTTTCAGAAATTTGGCAAAGAAGTCCACAAAAAAAATTAAAGAAATTCTCAGAAGGTTTCACTCAGAGACAAGCATACGTGGAAAGACTCCTGGATGCAATTTTGCTTTCAATTGTGTGCTCAAGGTCATATTAGTGACAAGAATAGCAACAAAGTTTGCCACCGATGAGCTGCCAGGAAATGTGTAATTTTGAGATGATCAAATAGCCTTGAAAATCTACTGCTTAATGATGATTACGGGTATGAGCCACACGATTTCCACAGAGACCCTTTGCCAAGTCACCCACAACATAAGTGAAGAAAAAAGAGGAAGAATCACACACATCATCAGACTGGTCTGAGAGAGACTCGGGCTCTCTCCAGCGCTTAGATGGCTTCAGACTATCTTCTTCCAAGATTCACAAACCTTTCCCACTTCCAGGCGCACCAAAGTCCATCTAGAGCCCATTCCCAGACAATCCCTCGCGCATCTACGCACGAGCCTTGGTTTGATCCTTCATCCCTGTAGATGAGTTGGGAGAGGGAGGAGCTCTCACACCTTCCGGTGAAATTACCTTGTTAGAGACAGCGCTCGAACGAGCTGAACTTCAGGCCCACACTGTGGCAAGACGCAGCTTTAAGAGCTGGGCCCCCGAGCGTCTGGGGTCGCGTCTCCTGCCCCTACCTGGAGTCCTGCTCTGGGCTGTGCAGGCAGCAGTTCACGGCGTTCACCAGAAAGCCAAAGAGGCGGCTGTACAGGGACTTGGCCAGCAGGTCGCGGTAAAACTCAGCCATCTGTACAGTGTGGCGCCGTACTACCAAGTCTCCTAAAATGGTGCAATGAGAAGGAGCGTTAGGACAAGCAGCTAGAAGCAGCACAACGGTGCACATCCTTTCTATTCCCCCCACATCTACATCTATCAAAGGATGTTAAAAATGGTCCTGTGATTCTAGCACTAAAAGAGGTCTCTGTTGGTTATCATGTAAAATGTCACTTACGCGAGTGTGAAGTGCACTGGGATCTTACTGCCACAGACTTGAGCACAGCTTTGGACCTTGTTATGGTTTGAATCTGTGTGTCCCCTCAAAGCCTCAAGTGGCCAGGCTTGAGGGGCAGGCTATTACAGTTTGAATATGGGTGTGAGAGCTGCACCCGCCCAGGAGTGGATAGTTTGCATATGTAAGGGAGAGGAAAAGAGTGCTTGGGACATTCCTCCCCCATTCCATCCTGGTGTATGTGCCCTGGTGTGTGCTGCCACCCTGAGATGCAGCCCTCTGCCACGTGCCACTCTGCCTTATAATCTGCCAGGTACGGATTGAAACCTCCACAAACTGTAAGCGAAATAAACCTTTCCTTCCTTAATTTGGGGTGTCAGATATTTTGTCCCAGCAATGAGAGAAAAGTAACCAAGACAGACCTCTAGGAAGGCTATGCAATTTCTTCCTGGGAAGCAGCTCAGGGGTTTGCACACTGAATCCTTCTGAGGTATTTGGGAGTCTGCACATCTGGAGAAGTGGCTGTAGTATAAATCCTGCTCTAATCAACCCAAGTGTGGGGCTGGAGCTAGGGAACAAGACTGGGTCCTTGGGAGAAACTGCTACGTCATTCTCATAAGAGAGAGTGACTGAAATCTTGAACAAGAAGATGTTTGGAAGAGAACAGTTGTGAGCAGGGATTCAGGAAGGACCAGGGGCCAAGGCTGCTGACGGGGCATCATCGCTGGCAGGAATAGCAGGGAGCTGATTGGATCAGTCACCAGCACGGCAGAAGCCCAGGGACCGGATGCAGTAAATTATAGATGATAACAGCGGTTCAATTCTTCTCCAAACAGGCACAAAGGAGAAGAGTGAACACACAGAAACATGGGAAGAGATCTCAGGAGTAACGGGGAGCACCAAGTGCACAAGGGAAGCTCACGAGGCTCAAGGATGCGCACAGGCAGCTCTGAGGACAGGAGTGGGCCAGACACGGTCAGCTGTGCAGCCCGATGCCTGCAGGGCAGTGCACAGGGGAAGCAGGCAAGATCCACAGTGACTTAGAGAAAGCAGAGCCCTCTGGAGGATGGCAGAGGCAGAAGGATCGCAAGTTCAAGCCCGGCCTGGGCAATTTAGTGAGACCCTCTCTTGAAATTAAAAAGAAGAAAAAAAAGAAAAATTCAAAGGGCTGAGGATGTAGCTTAGTGCAAAGGCTTTGCTTCCATTTCAAGTAAAGGAGGGGAGGAGAAGAGGAAGGATAAGGGAAAGAAGAGATGTAGGAGGAGGAAAGGGAAAACAGAGGAAGAGGAGGTGGTGGAGGAAGGGACCATCACTAGATGGATCACGTGCCCACGATCACGGTGACGAGGAAGCTTGCACGGGGTGAGTCAGTGAACCATCGAGGGGCGTGGAGCAGACCAGGCCTCTCGCACACTGGGTATGGACACAGAGGGCAGAGAGATGACAGGTCAGCCGGGGCTCACGCAGCCTTCCATTCCAGTCCAGCATGCCAGTTAGCGGTGTTCGGCGTTCAACGTTGTCTCACCTCTTTGAATCTCAGTTTTCTCATCGTTCAAATGGCAACATTATGCCTGCCTCATAAAGATTTGCAAGGACCACAAATGACAACATTCAGAGCGCCGGGCGCAGAGCCCACCCGTCCCCGAATGCTCCACAAAGGAAATATTATTCTGAGTGGTGAGACTGAGGGCGGCTGCCGGCACTGACCAGGACAGCGCAGCCCGACCCCGTGCAGGGAGCACGCTTCATGGGAGCACAGCCTCCGGGTCGCTGGTTTGTTTTGCTCCAGAGACGGATTAGCTAGAAAGGGTGACCAGTTCATCAAAATGCTCTCTCGGGATCATGAGGGGTTTATGATTTAGAGCCACATCAAGGGACAAATGTTCCGGATGCTTTTCTAAATTGGCCCTCAATTCACAGAAACAGTTCCACCGAGCAGGGCCAGACAAAGACACGCTTACTCTCCATATGTGAAAGAGGACCAAAATTTGTGCAATGGCAAACATCATATAGAGAAACGCTTACCTTTAAAATACTGAATATCAGTTGTTAAGGCAGATGCCAATTCATCTGTTGATACCTGCAACATCCCAGCCACTGAAATTAAAGCAATGTTAGAAATATAAAGTCAGCGTCTATGTCGGGATACGAGGAACATTATATTCTACAGTTATCCTGCACTTTGTATGCACTGAAGAAAGTCCATGTGCGCTCTGAAGAAAGTAATGACTACTGCAATGGTCAGTTCAGCACAAAGCGTGATCATAGCAGGTGTGTCTCCCCCCTCCTCTCACAGATGGTACCGAGGTCTCTTCTCCCACTTCCTTACTGGATCATTTTGATAGGCGTGAACATAGGCTATGCAATGACAACCTGTGTCTTTGAGGTCTTTTGAAAAAAACTTCAAGTGACCAGCAAGGCAATTTTTAAAAGAGAGGGAGAACTTCAGGGAGATCTCTGAAGGGGAGACACGGTATTACGCACTTTAAACCCGTTAGCTAATACCACACCCCTCAAATATTCCAGGTGGGGCAGGGGTAGAGAATACCGGAACAGGACAAGAGGAACCCGAGTAGGAACTGAAGAACGAGTGCTGGGAAGGGGCGGCGGAGGGAGAACGGAAAGCTGGTCTTGCTGATCATTCCCACAGCCTGGCGTGGAGAGGGCAGGGTGAGTGTGGCAGGTTCCGCCCCTCCTGGAATTCTCCGGAGGACACGCGGTCCCGGAAGGCTTCCGTGGGCTGTGTCTCCATCTACTGGCCACGTACAAACAGCACACCAAGGAGCCCACAGCCCAGTGTCACCTGCGCCCTGACCTTGCTCCAGGAGCTGGAGGTCGGACACGAAGGCTGAGTCGGCGTCGGTGAGGGCGGTGAACTGGATGTCCCCGAGGTGCAGTATGGCGGCCAGAATCACAAACAGGTTCTCCACCTCCTGCCATGGACAAGTGAAGACAGAGCATTGCTTAGGAGGAGGGTTGGTAGGCAAATCCTTTACTGCTGGGAAGTGGGTTACAGAGGTGATGTGGACCCTATCTCTGGGATTGAGGCTTCTCAGATCCCAAATGTTGGACAGAAGAACTACCACCACCTGTCTCCAAGTAGAAATCTCATAATCAATGCGTACTTCTTCTACATCAGCGTTGCTTTTCCTTAAATGTAAGAGAGTAAGGAAGTGACATCCTGATATAAATTAATGTCTTTTCGTTTGTTTTTTGAGGCAGAGTCTTACTATGTAGTTCAAGCTGGCCTTGGATTCACTGTATAGCCCCAGCTGCCCTCAAATTTACAATCTTCCTGCCTCAGCCTCCTAAGGGTTAGGATTACAAGTGTGCACCACCATGGCTAGAATTTAAAGACTTCTAAATGTTGATTGTAACAAAAGCAAATGATTACAGATGGAGGTCTGACTGGTTGGAAGTCTGTGTGAGGTCAGATGTCCAGCCTCTAGTCCAGTCCCTGACAGCAGAGGCAGGAGGGTCTGCCTGCACAGTGCTGAGCCTGTTTCCTTCCTTTCCTGTTTTCCTTCCTTCCTGTTTCCTTCCTCTATCACGGTCCCTCCCGAGTCATCACCACTGAGTAAGCTGAGGGGGTGACTGTATGTGTTCCACTTCTGGCTCAAGATGCCAGGGAAATACAGGAAAATGCAGGAGCCCTCTGGGGCACAGAGAGGAGGAGGCAGCTCCCAGGGAGAGGACCTCAGAGCCGCATTCTACACAGCAGGGATGGACACTGCAGCTCTTGTTCTTGGATGAATGCTTTTACAGCAAGAATGGAAGATCAAGAAAGAGTGGACTGTGAAGGGCTGCTTCTCTTGAACGTCAAACAGCAACACAGGCCGAGGCTCCTAGAACACAAGGACAGGGTCCTTCAGGCTTCCCTGCACTCACCTGAGATGTGGGGGAGAGCTCTGGCCACACATACATGGCTAAGCCCCTCAGATCACTGACTCCCGAACACCCACAACAGTGGAGCCCTTGGGGCTTCCATCATAAAAGGCATGGCTTTATCAGTGTGTGTGTGTGTGTGTGTGTGTGTGTGTGTGTGACTAGGTACCGAACCCAGAGCCTTTGCACTGAGCTACATTCTGAGCCTGTAATTATTATTTTTTATTATTCATTCAGAGACAGGCTCTTCCTAATTTGCCAAGTTGCCCAGGCTGGCCTTGAACTTGTGATCCTCCTGCCTCAGCCTCCCAGAATACAGGGATTACAGGCATTTGCCACCAAAGCCAGCTTGACTTTGTCATCTTTTATAAGACAACACTGTGGTGGACAGTCTCTAAGGGGTTTCCAGGTATAACATTCTATGACCCTGGCATTGTACAAAACTGTGTTTGTGAAATCCCTGAATCATAAATCAGTGTTTCATATTTAGTTCACTCTTGCTTGATAAAATAGCATCTTCTCAGCCTTTTAAGCTACCTAATATTTTTTTAAAAGTAATTCCCAAAGCTCTTCATTAAATATTTAGTATCTGTAAGACAGATGGACGAGCAGAATTTCTATCATCTTCAGGGGTCGTACTATTTAGTGAAAGAGGCAGATACATGTCGTGGTGGATTAGATGCTGTGACAGGGAACCCACAACCCTCCATGTGCCCATGTGCAGCAAGGCTGTGGTGCTGTCTGTCATGTGCAGCTGTCCCCTGCCATCTCACCCTCTCCACTACAGGGTTGTGGCTGAGGGTAGCGGTCAAGGCTTTTAGATGATCAAACCACCTAGGCCTACAGTTCACTTGTGGGTGGGTTTTGGCTTGAGTGTCTCGCTGGCCCAGAAATGCCTTCCTGCAAGTTGCAATGGATTGAATCTATCCCTTGAAAGTGTCACTATTCAAGTCGCTTTACAGGCTCAAGGTGAAGGCTGTGTTTCACAGCCTGTGTTGTCCTCTACCAACCGGTCATAACTCACGTCATGAGAACTGTTAGTTCCCTCAGCCAGCAGGTATATTTTGCTTGCTCTGCCTTGAATATCAATCCTAGATTTTTCAAAGTCCTGTTTCCAAGCAACTGGGCTCTGGTAGAATGGTCCCCAGCCTCTGTCTGTGCCCATTTCCTGGAAGAAGCTAGAAGCTTCAGGCATGGAGGATGGGTGTTGTGGTTTCTATCTAGATGCCTCAAAGCCTCACGTGCCCATGGGCAGGGCTTTGGGCAGTGACTGGGTCATGGGTGTGTGATGCTCATGGTAGACTGGTCCACCAATGAGTTCATAGCTGAATGTGATGTTGGGAGGCGGAGCCTGTGGAGGAGGTGGTCGCTGCGGCGTGGCCTGGACAGGTCTGTCTCCCTCCTCCTCCCTTGATCTCTCTCTGCTTCCTGGCCACCATGCCACGCACTGTTTCTCCTCTGCGATGCCCTTCTGCCCTGCTGTCCTGCCTTGGAGCCAGCCAACCACAGACTAAAACCTCTACAGACTGTGAGCCAAATAAACCTCTGCTCTTTAGACTTGTGGGTGTCGGGTATTGCCTCAGTGAATAGAAAGAAACAGAGACAATGGAAAATAATAAAATCAGAAAAACCTGACAGTAGCAAGTGCAAAGATGAAACGGTGCAAGTAGGTAGAGTTGGGGAAAGGACAGAAATAGAGAGATTGGATGCTTAGAGCAAAAAGAACAAGATGCTCTCTGACCACAGCTTTTAGAACTCCAGTCTCCAAGGAAAGAAAGTAAAAATCCCACTCAAAGTCAGGCATGGTGGCATATCCTGTTACGGTTTGTGTCTGCATGTCCCCCCAAATCCTCATGCAGTCATGGGGTGAGATTCTAGAGTTTATGATTGATCCATGGTCCAGTGCTGGGATTATGGATGTGAGTGCTACACCCGCCCTAGAGAGGATAGTTTGCATACAATATAAGGAAGGGAAAGAGAGTAACCAAGACACCTCCATACTCCAGACACTGAGGCAGGAAGATCGCTACCAGTTCAAGGCTGGCCTGGGTCACCTCATGAGCTCAAGGCGAGACTGAACTACATAGGGAAACCCTGTCTCAAAAAGTAAACAAAAAACTGGTCTCTGAACAGTGAGGAGGGAGCAGACCAAATGTCCCAAGTGACTTCATGCTGGGTAGTCCATTCCTGACCCTTCTTCTGGGGCACATTGCACCCTCACCCTCAGTCACAGGTGTGCCCCCTTCACCACCCCTGGGCACAAGGTGTGCCCTTTGCAACATCTGGGCATGGGGAAAAGCCCAGGCCCTTTCTGGTCACAGACAGAACATCCTCATGCCTGTGATCGAGTCTGGGCTTGTGTCCTCCTGGCTTTTCAGAGTTACCCTGCTGTGGCAAGCTAATTGCTCCCCAGGACTCAGTCATAACCCAAAGCTCAGCATGCAGAAGTGGGGAGCGCGGTGACGGAGGGAAGGAGAGGGGTGTGGGTCTCTTCCGGGGCAGGATCGCTTTCATTTCTGACTCACCAGACCTGTGCAGTTCACCTCAGCAACTGTGAACCACACACAGCTATTTAAGTTTCAGTTAGCCAAAAGAAAAATATTACAATTTCATTTCTTTTGCCTTGTGAGCCACATACCACATACCCAGGAGTGGCACAGGGCTGATAGCAGGTGTTGTACGGCACAGGTCAGGAACATTTCCATTATCAGGGAGGTTTCTACAGGACAGCCACGGGTAAGGCTTTGCTCTGATGCTGTTCAGCTTTGTAAGATTTGCAGGTATTTGGTAATTTTTTAGGAAAAAAAAAACATTTTCTATTGTTTAAGAAAACACTTTAATAAAGGGATTAGATTCATTTTCAAAGTGGTTTTGAGCCGTCAACAGTTTCTTGGGGGTCCCCTAATTTTCTAGTGGGCTGGTTAATCCAGGAAGTATGATAAAAAATATGGTTAATGCTTAAATTAGAAGTATTTATTACAGTAAAAGACACACCATCATGAATCCCCTCAAAACCCTGCCCCTCACTTGGAGCACACTCATCCTATCGATCTTGACACTTTCTGAAGCAGCTCTGGAGTCCTCTCTCCTGAGTGTCTCTAGTTGTGCTGTTGTGGATGCCTCCATGTCCTGAGTAGATTCAACACATTTATCTTTTGTGGTCATTGTGACTTTGGGGAGGAGCTAAAAGTCACACAGTGCTGGGTCTGGTGAATAAGGTGGGTGAGGACACAGCGTAGTGTTTTCAAGCCTGCCTTTCTGTTGGACGGCGCTGGGCAGAAGCGCTCACTGTATTTTTGATCACACTATGTACAGACCCTCACGAAAGAGGACTGCAGAGCTGCTTTAAGAAGTGGCCAGAACCATGGGATCAGTGTGTTCAAGGCAAGGAGAGTATTTTGAGGGGGAACAATGTCAGCATGTCTTTTACTGGGATAAGCTCTTTTAAATTTAAACATTCACTGTACACTCTGACCACCCCTTGGAGTTACTGGAACTGTTCTGGACCTGCACCTGCATGTCTTTGGGAAGGGCCTCCAAGCCGCCATGTTGACGGGCTGCAGGTTTACCCTGTGTCTTCCCTCCTTGGATCGCTCCTCCCCCACATCCTCGTTCATCTCCTGCCCTTCTAGAATGTGGGCTCCAGGAGGGGCTGGGGCTTATCTTATGCTGAGTCACCAAAGCCTCCCCCGGCATCTGGGTGGAGCAGGGCATGGGAAGTGCTCTTGAATGAATGACTTTTAGACACTGGTTCAAGGTTGGTTTTCTCAGTGAAATGCTAAGATGACTCACCAGGTTGCTGAAGCCAATGACAGCCAGAGCTTGTTTCAGAGCCATGAATCTCTCCCGGTTCAGCACATGCTCTGCGGTGGCTGCATCTCCCCTTGTGGTCTGGTTCAAATACCTATGAGGATAAACACATTGCGTTACTGCCTGGCAAGGAGTCAAACTCCAGTGGCCAAAGTCACCTCAGCCACACTCGGTCTCCTCCAAGTGGAGTCACCTGGACACCGTGTGCCCACTGTTTACGAAGCTTTTGGAACCTAACAGCACATGATGTTTCCACAAGGGACAAACACAGCTCTTGTTGTCCTGGAACATAATCACACCATGTGACATGGCTCCTACTTCAGCTGCCACGTCCCTGTGAAAGGCACTTCACAGGGAGCAGGTACTTCCTCTTCAGCATGTAGAAGCTTGGGAGAAACAGTCCCAGGCACTGTGACTGATAGCCGCATCACAGATGCTGAATTTACACCAATTTGCTATCTCTTCTTGTCAGTACCTTTTAATTATGAGGCAGCTGATTAATTCATGGATTTATTCCTTTCACTCTGCAGACATGGAGGAATCATCTGTCCAAACAGAGCACACCAAGCAGCTGAGGATGGGAAGATAAAGGGGGCCCTCTCTGGAACCCCAGCAATGGCAAGATAATGCACCCAGGGACAGAGACGGGGGAGTGGAGGACCACGAGACAGTGCTGAAATAGAACAACACAGAGCAATGAAATACAGACACAGGCTGACACAGCGCACGGCTTTGTTCACATGAGAAACTCAACGTATAAGTAGATTATAGAGCAAGATAAAAAGAAAGATACTGGGAAACAGGGGGAGGGAGCTTTGGCAGATGAGAAAGGGGACCAAGAGATGGAGGGAGGGGGGAAGGAGGGGAGAAAAGAACTAGGATGCGCAGTGCACGAGTACCAGCTTCCGCCAGGCAAGTGGTGGTCATGTACCGCAAGCGTGTACTGACGAACGTGAAAATGTAAAATGTTTAAAACAATAACGTAGGGAGAGGCCGGCACCCAGAAGTGTCTGAGGAACACACGCTATAGAGAGAAGAGGGCTGCTGTCCCGGAGCTGGCACACGAGCGTGAAGCCGCAAAGAAGCACTCGCACGCACGGTGTCCCTGTAGGACGAGCGGCACGCAGGAGCACACTGCAGGGTCCCGCGTGCCGCAGGGAGGGACCCTGTCGGCAAAACGGGGTCTCTGGTTTGGGAGGAAAGAGGGCGCGGGCCGGAGCTTAGGGATCCTGTACGGGGCTCTGGGCAGGTTCTGGGGGTGGGACCCAGGAGGCCGGGAAGTGGGGAAGAGGCGCCGTGGGGTTCAGGAAGAGGCTGCTGGGGCCCCAGAAAAAGGTCTCTGGGGAAGAGGAGGCCACAGGGGACAGGCTGAGGAGAAAGGAAGCATGCAGGGAGAGAGGGGCGGAGAGCAGAGCAGGACCCATGTGCACTTGGAAGTGGGGAGGAGGGAGAGGCGCTGCTGGTGCCTTGCACGGTTCTGTTAGGGAAAGTGGGTGTGGGGGGCTCCGCTCAACCGGGAACCTTTCTAGCAGAAGGGGATGGCTTTGGGGAGAAAGTCTCATGTTGCCCATCAGCCGTGCTGAATTTGAACTACGCGTTAGAGCGCAAGCAGAGATCCAAGAAAGGACAGGAACAAGCACTGGGAATTGGGAAAAGCAGAGCAGAGAGAGCCTGCGGACCATGAGGGCGCCCAGGATAAAGCCATGTGTGGACGGGCTTGCCTAGTGAGTCCCGGCTGCAGGAAGAACCCAGGGCTCAGCGCAAAGCAGGGCGAGTAAAGGAAACCGGATCAAAATCACCAAAGCCAAAGTGAAGCGTGCTACAGACTGGCAAGCAGACTCTGCGAGGCCCCGTGCGTTGGGCTGAGAGCTGGCGGGGCTGAGGAGCAGGGTCTGAGGGCCTCTGTCCCGTGGTCGTGGCCTGTTCCTCCTCTGCAGAGGGATGCTGCTTCCCGCTGCACCGGGTCAGGGTGGGAAGGGTGCCCAGCGCTCAGGCTCCCTGTGCCCAGGTGATGCTGCCCGAGGAGGGTGGGTGGGATGCTTGGTGCTGGCCGGGGAGGATGGACGCAGAGGGGAGCTGAGCTCCGCAGCCTTGGGGACCAGCCAGGGAGGTGTTCCAGAGCCTGCACGGCTGGCGCAGGACCCTGTGGAGCCGAGGGCTGGGCAGGGTAGGAGGAAGGTCAGGGAGACCAGAGCAGTCAGTGTCGACCCGATGCCAGCCCCCAGGCCTCCCGGAGCGAGAAGGAGGAGGCACACCATGGAATCTGGTAGTGCGGTACTGCAGCAACACAGCGACAGTGCTGTCAAAGGGGCAGAGTTCTATTTTTTTAAGTCCACAAAGAGAAAATTCCTGACTTTAAGTGTCTGGCTGAGCTGGTGACTGAAAGGAGAAACTTTAATACAATCCCATCAAAAGCCTATCTGCACAACTGCTTTTCCCCTATGTATTTTTTACTAATTTCTATGCATCCTTCCTCTTGAAATGTTAGTCAATTATTTAAGAATGATTTGTTTTTTCTTTTTCCTTGAGAGAAATTCTAGGAAAAAATGTATTTGTGTTTGTAAAGTGATGAAGTTCTTAAAGTTCTAATGGATGTGAAAAGTATCACTTGATGATATGTATGTTCAACTGGTGTTTAATGTGCAGATATGTAGGAGAGCCAGAGAAAATGAAGGGAGGAAAGGAGGGAGGAAGGAAGGAAAGGAAGGAAGGAAAGAGGGAGTGAGGGAGGGAAGGGGGCTCTGCAGCGCAAGTCAGCAGACCCCTCTCCTTCTGACTTATGCAGAACTGCACTCCGTGCGTCACCCTGAAATCCCAGAGTCTCGCATTTTCCTCTATTCTGTGAGTGAGTTAAGAGAGCACAAGGAAGCAAACTGCAAAGGAAATGGGTAGAAGTTACTTGTACGATAACTGACAGGAATCTGTCACGCTTTCCCTGGATTTAGAGTGAATTTCCTTCATCTTGTCCTACTTAGTCTTTTTATGTCCACATTTTTTTCTAAAAACTATAGTTTCTCTGACCACTCAGCCATCGAGGGACCTCTAGGCAGTTTCTAGTTAGGGGCTACTTTACACGGAGCCACCCCAACTACTCGCCTACAGGTGCTGAAACGCATCTGCTCCTCTCTGGGACAAGGGCAGCAGCAGTGGCGGGCTCCAGTGGCGGGGTGGCAGGTGTGGCTTCAGTTTGAGAAGCGTTGCCGACCTCCAGGGAGTTTATGCGGCTTTACGCTCTCACCAGTGAGGCAGGAACGGTGAGCTTCTTCACGTGGTCGGCAGGACTTGCCCACGTCACAGGTTTTGCATTTGCCACCCTGCTGCATGCGTGGTGATGCCCACCGAATCAGGGCATTTCCCCAGTGCCTAATGATGTCGAACGTCTTTCATGTGCTTGTTTGACGTCTCTATCACCTTTCAACACTTGCTCTCGTGTGGTAGCGTGACTTTCCATCCTCTCCGTGGGGGCTTCTGCAGAGTAAGAGCTTTGTGTCATCCCATGACTCAACGCGTGCTTGCGTGTCTCCTGTGTATGCTGTCAAATTTAAAACCTGTAAACCTTGAACTAGACTCTCAGAGTTCCTTGAGTTCACCGTCTGTTTGAATTTTGTTCTATAAGGTGTGAAATGTTTTTGCTTCGCCTTCTTTTGTTACTTGTGTTCTGTACATATTTCATCTGTGGATGTCCACCGCTTTGGCACCTTCGGAAGAGCCTCATCTTTTCTGCCCTGAGTTGGACCTTCACGGAGAATCAGTTGGGTATGTGTGCAAGTCTACTTTCCAGTCTCTCTCCTGTTCCTCTGACCTGTAATCTCTCTACCAATACGGTAGCATTTAGATTCCTATGTCCGTGTGGTAGGTCTATGTGTAGGTTGAGTCTGTTGATTTTATTCTTCTTTTTCAAGATTATTTTAACCATTTTGAGGGCCTGTGTTTCACAAAGAAATTTTAGAACATGCCTGTGTCTTTATTACTTTTCTCTTTAAGGAGAAGACAAAAGCTAAGACAAAACAAAGTGTGCTCTGGGCCAGCCAGAAGAAGACAAAAGCTAAGACAAGACACCCAACACCCAAAGCTAGAGGGGGAAAGTTTCATTTAGCTGACAGTTGGTAGCAGTTTCAGTCTGCAGTCAGCTGGCTCCAAGGCAGGGTGGCATTGCAGAGGGGCAACAGTTCACGGGGGTGGGGCAGAAGGGAGCAAAGCAAGCAAAAGGCCTTAGCAGCTTCCTTCCGCCCCTTTTATACTCTATCAGGCTACTGGGATTAGGGTTGTGACAAACCAATCAGCGGATTGATTTAGTGAGCATACACCCTTAATCCCAGCATCACACACTCTACCTCCAGCCACCTCTGAAAAAGCCCATCTACGACCACATGAGGCTTTGGGGAACATCTAAATATAAGCCATGTACCTTCTTTATGTGTTCAGCATGGTTTTCAACAAGAGTGGCACCGACCTTACAAGTCATCTTACAGATAACTGACTCGTTGCTGTTTTGAGTCTTCTAACCCATGAATACCGTATGTCTCCAATTTCACTCACTGGTATTTCATAATTTTCAGCATACAAGTACCGTAAAGGTTTTGTTAAGTGAACACCTAAGTATTTCACTTTCATAACTTTTTAAAATTTTGGTTTCCATGTGTTCGTTGTAGATACACAGCAGTGCAGCGGTACCTTGGTTCACACACTTAATTCTTTCCATGATTTTAGTCATAAGCCAAACTGATTGCAAACCAATTCAAATTTCCACATAGGGCCAACACCAAACCTAGGCATTGCATTTGATTTGGTTCATGAACCCAGTTATGGCTGTGTCTGTGCCCTCCGGCATCTGCCTTGTACTCAGTCACCCCATGCCCGCTGGCAGGCCGCCTGCACCCATCAGCTTTAGGAGAGTGTTTGGGCAGAATCTTCAGAGTTTCATACTGTTTTCTCATAAACCCGACGGTGCTTTCTCCTGACTCAGTTTACGTCATTCTTACAGCTCATATGGAAGAACCACACCTTCACCTTCTTGCTATCCCTTACAAACCTAGGTGCACATGCGCTGTAATCATGAAAAGCTCTACTCAGGCACAGACAAGACAAGAATTC